TACCTCACGATTGCATGGGTTGTTACTTGTTAATATACTACGTACTTTTTTACTAGTTAATATACGAACTCTTCGAATTATTCCTGTGTCACTCTACTTCTAGATTATTAAATAGTAGTAATTCTACTTAAGGTGATTGTGAAACAAATTTTAAATATTTACTTAAAATTGATCGCAAATATAGTATATGAGAATATTGGGTACAATCTCTAAATATGAATCCTCTAGTTCTTCACTTGCAATTTGAAATAATTATAACTACAGAATTTAATTCAAAATTAAATATTCAATCCCTCAAATATTCGAATGTTTTTCAGATCTTCGAATCTTCGTTCTTTAGATCTTCGAATTTTAGAATCTTTGTTCTTTGGGTCTTCAATTTTTTTGAATGCAAATCAAATTCAGCTTGAAGGACCTCCGGTTTTCAAGTAGTTTCATCTTCAACAAAAGGACCTTTTTATGACTTAATCTTCTGTTTAAGGGCTTCACAGGATATATAGCCCGATCTTCAATTGAATCTTGATTCAATCTTCGTATTAATATCTTCAAATCTTCAAAGATTCGTTCTTCATATCTTCTAATCTTCAAAGTCTAGTTCCTCATGTCTTCGAATCTTCAAGCTTTGTTCTTCATATCTTCTAACATTCTTCAACTTTTGGACTTATGTTATCAAGAATGGACGAAATCAAAAAGGATTATTCGTATATTCTTAATAATATTTGTGGATTGATCTCTCCCTCTTCTTCGAAATCGTTTAGAGCCTCTCGGGAGTTCTTCAGAGAGCTTTTCCGCAGCGTTTCTTCGACTCGAATATCTCTTTTCTCATTCCTCTCAATTGAGACCCCTATTTAAAAGTGTGGAGGGATGAAATATGCATCAGGGTTGCAAAATTTGTCCATACCCCATGAGCCTCAATTAAAATTGGATTTGGGCTCTTCTTGCTTGCATTTTAATAGCTAGAAAAATTAGCATTTATGCAATGTATCTGGACATCTTTTCTAATAAAGTTCATAGCTATTTTTTCATGCATGCGGACAGATTTCTTAACTAGATTCGTTGTCCTTTTCATAAAGTGGATCATGTTTCTTATATATTGGGCTACTACTTCAAATTGGGCTCAAAATAGAGAATTCAATAGGACCGGCTCACTGCTTTAAAAAATTAAATTAATTGGATATCTTTAAATGGTCCAAATTAATTCAATCATTAAAATTCAATTCAAGGTTCCCATATCACTATCTGCCTTTTGATAAGGCCCAACAACCATGATGAGCAACTCAGTAGAATTCAACGTTGGTCCAATAGCATTCAAAGGAGGCCCAATAAAGTCAAACAAGTCTGATAGCATTTAAATGAGATTCATAAAATAACAACCCGCCATGATTATCTTACAACCCCAATTAATTTATGATCAAATGACCCATTACTTTTAGATGTCCATAGTGATCCAAAGAAAACAAAAAATGCAAGGTCAATGAATAAATAACGTATCTACCCTTTTAAAATTAGTTCATTAGAGCATCCACATTGATGTTCCTCAATTTACAGTTTTTATGTCTTGTTATTGTCATGTCACTTTCACATATGAAAATATCAAATAATTTCCAAACCAATGAATTTCCCCTCAATCATAATCTTAATTTACCAAGACTTTCTATGAGACACTCAATTTCAAGAAAATAAGTTACATGCATAATAATTCTTCAAAGTAATATACGTAGTAAGTTGGTACGTTTATGGTCTTACAATGCTTGTTCAACGATCATAATTCTTCAAAGTAATATACGTAGTAAGTTGGTACGTTTATGGTCTTACAATGCTTGTTCAACGATCAGTTTAAAGGAGTATAGCACATGCAAGATTTAGAAATTTGTGAATATGCCTACAAAATTATGAGAGGAACTTAGAAGTTGAAAAAAAAATTCACATAATTTAGATTTAGAATTTGATACCAGATTTTTTTCGTCAAATAATCTTTTCAAATAAATCCAACTTCTCAATTATAATCTCAAAAAATATCATCCACATCTTCAAAATGATCCTTAATCTCAAAAAATATCATCTACATCTTCAAAATGATCCTTAATCCTACGGGATGCCCTTAATCCTTAATCTACATCTTCAAAATGATCCTTAATCCTACGGGATGCCCTTATATGCTTTGTTGGGATTATAATGGCGGTAAAGCATCATGCATGATCCAATGCCATCACGCCCATCAGCCCAACACAGTTAACCAAGCTAAACGGGTCCATCAATTTAGCGATGCCACATCCAAGCATTACACATCAATTACTTCTTATCAATCACCAAACCAAATTAATACAAATATGCAAGAGTTGAAATCTTTTAATCAACTTTCATCAGGTCGACTTATGTTTCTACATTAAACATCATCATTTGTTGATATCTAGTAATCTCTTCTTCCTATTACTCCGTATTATATATTCACTAGTGTAGATCCCGGGGCATGCCCCGGTAGTTTTAGGGATTGTTTGCAATTGTTTCAACTTTAAAAAGTGATTTTTTAAATTAATTTTGGAAAAGTGATTAATAATAAAAAATAGTAGTGTTTGAAAAAAAGTGATTCTGAAAAAGTAAAAGTTGGTAGTGTTTGGTGAAATAAGTATTTTTTATGTAATAGAAAAAGTGGAAAGCAGTTTAAAGCACCATTTTACCTTCTTCCAGCTTTTAGCTTTTAAGTGATTAATTTAAGCAGAAGCTGTCATTTAAAAACACTTTTTTCAGCTTTTTTAAGCCAAAAGCTGAAAAGCGCTATTTTTAAGCAACCGCAAACACTCCTTTAATTTCATATGAGTTAAAACTTGTATTAAACTTTTGAATATAATAAATCTATATTATGAACTAATCACATATATTTATAAATTCATATTTGTTAAATGATTATTGTCGGTCATCATATACTACATTAGTACTCCGTATATATTTAAACATAAGTCAATACGGAGTATTATTTTTCAGATTTTATTACTTCCGTAAGAGACACTTTACATTTTGGTTGCCAATAGAATATGAATGCTCTTTTAAATTACCAATGACTTCTTATTTCTCACTTTATTCTTTATCTGTCATTTCGCCTTATACTTTTTGTGGATCTATATTGAACTTTTTTACCTTCTTACATGTTAAAATTGTAAAACGGGTGCAGTATACTCCATACTTGCTTTTAAACATGTATGAAATCCAATCATATCTTACAATAAGAGGGAAGGGGTATGTGTTTATGGAAAGTTGACACTTATTTTAATCATTCTTTGTAATATCACAAGTGTTTCTTATTGTGACAATTTAGTCAACATTTTAATTTTTCACCACAAAATTAATTTTCCTCCCTTGTATCTAGTAAGATATGTTTTGCTTTATGGTTGCCAAAAAATATGAATGATGTCCTCACTCCTCAATTAAATTTAACTAACATTTTAATTTTTCATTTTACCGTTTCATCTATTATTTCACCTATTAATTTTTGTAGACTTATATTACTTTGTGAATGTTAAAATTGTAGAACAATAAGTTCATTATTTATCTGCTCCTTGAGGGAGTATAAGCAGATATTGTACCATTTGGGTGAAAGTGCATAAGTACTTTTCGATGTTCCAAATTGCTCCCGGAAGCAGTTTTTAGAAGTTGGCGGAGACCAACTTCTGATTCTGATTCTGCTTTTAAAAAGGAAGTCGAAACATAATCAATTACAAACATCCCATGAATCCCATTCAATGTAATACTACGTATGTATGTGTTGTACAATTATTGACCAAGAATTCCCATGTATTAGAGTCCCATTATGTGTAACATTGATGTTGTACTTTACGATTAATCTCATTCACTTTTATTAGTCCCATTATATTATTTAAATAATTTTGTGTTGTACAATTCCTGAGATTTATAAGGAGACTCTTGCGTAATTATGTGGTCTTCTAAATCTTAGAGTCCGTTTGGTAGCACGAAAATCGGTTGATTTGGCTGATTCTACTGAAATTTATGAAATTCTGGCTGAAGTGACAGCATTGACTGATTCTGCTGATTTAAGAAAAAAATATCTTTAAAATATATTTTATTAATAAAATATTGAAAAAATTATATGTAAAAATAGCTAAAATAGTCATGTACAGTAACTTTAGCCAATACAGCCAGAAAAGTAACTTCAACCTTACTTTTTCTGCTTATTACACAATTCAGCGCGCAAAAACAAAAATTAGTGTTTGGCGAAAAAGTTGGCTGATAAGGCTGATAAGCCGAAAAACAATGTTGTCAAACGGCCTCTTAATATAACTTTAGTTTTTCGGAGTGTGCTGTTTCTCAAAATTATTTCTCATATTAAGCGTATAGTATAAATTAATTAAATGTCTTAATAGCAGTGCTAATAGAATTTGTGCTAACTAATGAGAGAGTGACAAATCATTGATTTATAACTCAATTCTACTACATAAAAAATAGATAATTGTGTGACTTACTTATTAATGTTCTTAGGGTTACTCCTTCCGTCCTTAAAATTGTTCTCATTTACCTTTTTGGAACGTATAAAAAAAATTATACTTTTCTTTTTGGAAAGTTTTGTGTGACTATCTCGAAGATAAAAATTTTGCGGGGTGGAAGAAGTACCTTTTTTGATATTATCATTGCGTTAAAAGTGTAATAATTGAGGTTAAGTGGCTAACTAATAATTGTACGATAGTATATTGTATCGATTTAAATTGACATAGACAATATTTACCCTTGGCTTTATTCGATCATTAGCAAAATTCATGTATATATGCATTGTGTTGATTCAAATATAAAAAATCATGTAATATATAAAAATGTTGACATCTTAAGACCCAGAAAGGCCAGAATCCCAAAAATCTGCTCCGCCTAAGTGTAAATTAATTAAATGTCTTCTTAATTCTAATTATTAGAATTATGTTAACCAATAAGAAAGTGACACATCATTAATTTATAACTCAGCTTTACTATATAAAACAATAGATTTCACCATAACTATTAAGAATGTCTTATTTTTCCTTTATGACCTGTCCCACTAAAATAGTTGTTGAGTTTAATCCAACACGATATAGTAAATATATGTATAAATGTGTATGAACAAACTATTTTTACGTGGAAACCCGAAAGGGAGAAAACCACGGGACTTTTTAGGCTAATGTCCAAGCCCTCTCAATTCTCATTAGGCTCTCCTCACCATTACATAGTACATTTTGAGCTCCATTCATGGAGTATTTGAGCTATTCTAGAGGGAGAAGGAAGAAGGAAGTCCTTTACATGGAGGGAAAACCTCCTATAAATAGGGGAAGGGGAGAAGGGGCTCTCCACCCTAATGGGTCAAACGGGCCAGAGTGGGCCCAAATGGCTAAAGTGGGCCGGATGGGCCGAAATGGGCCTAGCTGCTCGGGCTCCGTACTACGTAAAGCCTTGGACTCATGAACAGTAATAGGCCGGGATAATATATCCCAACACAAGTCCCCCAGTTTCTTGAGTAGTGAGCTCGCGAATCTGCTCGAGAAAATATACTCTGCCTGCGCTCTTCCTCTGTCTTGCTGGAAACTGTGTCTTCACATAATCATCATATATGAGTGAGTGTCTGCACTCCTGAACGTAATCTACCAGTGAGGCACCCCCCTTCCCGATAGGGTCGGGCGAAGGGTGCTCCTCCACGGGCACACTCCCCCTGAATGCATCAGGCGGGAGTAAAGGACTCTGACTCGAGCTTTCCAATCGGAGAAGCTTAGAGGTCCATCATCTATAACTCGACGTCGCGGTACTATCAAAACATGATGCACGTGTGTATGTATGAATGTATGAGGTATGATGCATGAATGTATGTATGCATGTAATGTATGTATGTAATGTATGAGAGAGGGAATGCAAGATGTGATAGAAGCAGTAGCTCTCATCGATAACCCGGGCATGTCAGCGCCGACAAGCAGACGTGCTGCATAAGACGGGTCCCCCATCCGAGATGGCATGGGCGGAGCCGAAGGTGGACTAGACATGATGCCGCCGAGGGGCCAATCATGCTGCATAAGACGGTCGATCGCCATCCTGGAGGGGATGCGTGATCCGAACGTGAAAGAGACACGATGGCGCTGAGGGGCCGATCGTGCTGCATAAGACGGTCGTCGCCATCCTGAAGGGAATGTGCGAGCCGAACCGTGAAGCCAGGTACGATGGCGCTGAGGGGCCGATCGCACTGCATAAGACGTTCGTCGCCATCCTGGAAGGGATGCGCGATCCGGACGTGAAAGAGACACGATGGCGCTGAGGGGCCGGTCGTGCTGCATAAGACGGTCGTCGCCATCCTGAAGGGAATGTGCGAGCCGAACCGTGAAGCCAGGTACAATGGCGCTGAGGGGCCGATCGCACTGCATAAGACGTTCGTCGCCATCCTGGAAGGGATGCGCGATCCGGACGTGAAAGAGACACGATGGCGCTGAGGGGCCGATCGTGCTGCATAAGACGGTCGTCGCCATCCTGGAGGGAATGTGCAAGCCGAACCGTGAAGCCAGGTACGATGGCGCTGAGGGGCCGATCGCACTGCATAAGACGTTCGTCGCCATCCCGGAAGAGATGCGCGATCCGAACGTGAAAGAGACACGATGGCGCTGAGGGGCCGATCGTGCTGCATAAGACGGTCGTCGCCATCCTGGAGGGGATGCGCGATCCGAACGTGAAAGAGACACGATGGCGCTGAGGGGCCGATCGTGCTGCATAAAACGGTCGTCGCCGTCCTGGAGGGGATGGGCGGCCCGAACATGAGCCAGACACGATGGCGCTGAGAGGCCGATCGTGCTGCATAAAGACGTTCGTCGCCATCCTGGAAGGGAATGGGCGAGCCGAACCGTGAATCTGGACACGATGGCGCTGAGGGGCCGATCGTGATGCATAAGACGTTCGTCGCCACCCTGGAAGGGATGGATGAGCTGAACGTGAGCTGGGTACGATGGCGCTGAGGGGCCGATCATACTGCACAAGACGGTCGTCGCCATCCTGGAGGGAATGGGCGAGCCGAACCGTGAACTGGACACGATGGCGCTGAGGGGGCCGATCGTGATGCACAGGACGTTCGTCGCCACCCTGGAAGGGATGGACGAGCCGAACCGTGAGCTGGGTACGATGGCGCTGAGGGGCCGATCATACTGCACAAGACGGTCGTCGCCATCCTGGAGGGAATGGGCGAGCCGAACCGTGAACTGGACACGATGGCGCTGAGGGGCCGATCGTGATGCACAAGACGTTCGTCGCCACCCTGGAAGGGATGGACGAGCCGAACCGTGAGCTGGGTACGATGGCGCTGAGTGGCCGGTCGTACTGCATAAGACGGTCGTCGCCATCCTGGAGGGAAAGGGCGAGCCGAACCGTGAACTGGGTATGATGGCGCTGAGGGGCCGATCATACTGCACAAGACGGTCGTCGCCATCCTGGAGGGAATGGGCGAGCCGAACCGTGAACTGGACACGATGGCGCTGAGGGGCCGATCGTGATGCACAAGACGTTCGTCGCCACCCTGGAAGGGATGGACGAGCCGAACCGTGAGCTGGGTACGATGGCGCTGAGGGGCCGATCATACTGCACAAGATGGTCGTCGCCATCCTGGAGGGAATGGGCGAGCCGAACCGTGAACTGGACACGATGGCGCTGAGGGGCCGATCGTGATGCACAAGACGTTCGTCGCCACCCTGGAAGGGATGGACGAGCCGAACCGTGAGCTGGGTACGATGGCGCTGAAGGGCCGATCGTGATACAGAAAAATAGTGATGATCATCTCATGGCCCTCGGCCTGTCGGTGAGTGATAATCGTCTCGCGGCCCTCGGCCGTGCTGGTGATGTGTCAAGTCTCTCTCCCGATTGGCTGTGGGAAGCCAATCGTCTGTCAGGACTCCTTTCGGGAAGGAATGGTGAGCCTGAAATAAATCTGGGTGATGTCCCTCCCATCTGATCTGAGGAGCTAGTCTTCGTTCGTCTACCGTATCCGTGGTCCTATGTACGGACCGCTAAGCGGTGTACACTCGGCACGCACAGACTCCGGTAAAGAACTGGTCCATCGTGTCTGATCCATGGAGCTGGTCTTCGTTCGTCTACCGTATCCGTGGTCCTATGTACGGACCGCTAAGCGATGTACACTCGGCACGCACAGACTCCGGTAAAGAACTGGTCCATCATGTCTGATCCATGGAGCTGGTCTTCGTTCGTCTACCGTATCCGTGGTCCTATGTATGGACCGCTAAGCGGTGTACACTCGGCACGCAACAGACTCCGGTAAAGAACTCGGTTCTTCGTTCTTCCCAAGTCTCGTGAGTACTGGTCTCCTGGTTTCGCAGGAGACGTTCGTCATCCCAACTATGAGAAGAAACAGGTTTATCCACGTCGGGATTCCCTATTCTTCGTTCGTCCCTGTCGTGGTCCTACTAATCTTCTTACTTCGAAGAAGACGTTTGGTCATCCAACGATCGCAAGGAGGAACAGGTTTATCCACGTCGGGATTCCCTATTCTTCGTTCGTCCCCGTCGTGGTCCTACTAATCTTCTTACTTCGAAGAAGACGTTCGGTCATCCAACGATCGCAAGGAGGTCACTGGTTTATCCACGTCGGGATTCCCTGCTTCGTCGTCCCATGCTCGTGGCCCTACTAGCCTTCTGCTTTGGCAGAAGGTGTTCATCGAACCACGGGTCATGGGAGGAACTGGTTTATCTTGCCGAGGTTCCCTTTGGTACGTCTAGCCCCCCCCACGTTCCTACTAGCCTCCGCGTCGGGAGACGTTCGTCATACGCGGCGAAGGAAGATCAGACATACCTCGTCAAGACTCCCTCTCTCATAGGATCTCGTCTCCCCTTCTCCCCATCTTTTTTTTTTTTCTTCTTTTTTTTTTTTTTTTTTTTTTTGAGGGAGGAAAATACGTTCGTCGGTTCCAAGAGTAACCACAAGTGATGTCACACATAATGGTGGTGGGATATCAAAATGAATAGAATGACGAGGCGATGGAAATGCTGGTCGTCATGCGAAGGCGATGGTCACCCTCCTGAAGGGAGGGGTGAGCCCGATCGCTAACTCAAGAAGGTCGGCATTGGGAGCCGATATACAATGATCATAATGTCGCTGAGCAGTCGGTCCTGATAATGGAGATGGCAATAGTGTCTAGTCAGGCCGATATATCCGAGCAACGGCTCTCATCCAACGCAGCGCGGGGATGAAACCGGTCTTCAAAAGATAAATATGTCGTGCCGAGAGGCCGAACATAACATGATAGTGTCGGCAGTAAGAGGCCGACCTGAAAGAATCAAGCAATGGTCTTCGTCCGCGAGGGCGGGGACGAGGCCGGTCTTCAAATATGATAATCACGCCGGTCCGAGAGGCCGGTCGTGATATAATGATGTCAGCGATGAGAGGCCGACCTGAAAGAAATCCAGCAATGGTCTTCGTCCGCGCAGCGCGGGGACGAGGCCGGTCTTCAAATATGATAATGACGCCGTACCAGGGGGTCGGTGGCCATGTAACAGTGTCGGCCTGGGGGGCGATCTGAGAAAATCAAGCAACGGTCCTCGTCCGCGAGGGCGGGGACGAGGCCGGTCTTCAAAGATGATAATGGCGCCGTACCAGGGGGTCGGTGGCCATGTAACAGTGTCGGCCTGGGGGGCAATCTGAGAAAATCAAGCAACGGTCCTCGTCCGCGAGGGCGGGGACGAGGCCGGTCTTCAAAGATGATAATCACGCCGGGCCGGGGGGCCGAACATGATATGACAGTGTCGGCAATGAGAGGCCGATCTGAAAGAATCAAGCAACGGCCCTCGTCCGCGAGGGCGGGGACAAGGCCGGTCTTCAAATATGATAATCACGTCGGGCCGAGAGGCCGGTCATGATATAATGGTGTCGGCGATGGGAGGCCGACCTAAAAATCAGGATGGTCTCACGGCCCTCGGTCGTGATGGTCTCCTCTAGGCCCTCGGCCTCCGAATGATGGATGATCGTCTCACGGTTCTCTGTCATGGCATTCGCCTCTAGATCCTTGGCCTCTAGGTGTTCTCCCTAGGCCATCGGTCTCTGGGGTGGAGATGCCCGTCCCACGGTTCTCAACCGTGGTGGTCTCCTCTAGGCCCTCGGCCTCTAGGTGGAGATGCTCGTCTCACGGTCCTCAGCCGTGATGGTCTCCTCTTTAGCCAGCCCTGCACGTCTTCAAGACTCGGGCCGAGCGTCTTCTAATCATTTCGCTCAAGCGCGTCGAGCGGCTTCGGCTGCGCAATAAGCATGGTAACGGGCCGCACGGCCCGATAATAAATATGCACACATAACCATCTGCATGGGTCATCGTGGCTTCCCTCTAACACCCACGATTACCGGCCTATGGGTCATCGTGACCCTCGACCCGGCTCATCGTGCGGGGTTAATGGACGTAGCAGCTTGCGGCGGGGCCAATTAGCAGCCTGCCGAACGTCACATAGAAATATTCACCGGTCCGTGAGTTTTCAAACTCAGACCCAAGTTGGTCGCACTACCCTCGAAAAAATGAGGTTGAGCACTTCGGTGCCCTCGGGCCCCACAGGCCGCGTTTGGCACAGTCACTTCGCCTAGTGGCGTAGATGGTACTAGGGTACGATCGTCGCTCGGGCACTTGGTGCCATGCGGACCAATGCGTAACCCCTCAATTAAAATGCGTCGTCGGGGCATCGCCCTTTTGGAGACGCTCAGATCGCTTAATCAAGCTGATCGAGAGTGGACCCACGGGCCCACAAGAAATTAAATACTTAATAAAATGTTAGCTGAACTAACCATCACTTGAGCCTCGCTCGACATTATTTAATTCGGGACATTTTACCCCTAATAAATAATAGTGACATAACCGGTAATAGCAATGATACTTCCCTATCGAAGGCCATTCAAGTATACTCCGTTCGCTAATTAAAGCCGATCAGGAGCGGGCCAACAGGCACACAACAACCAGTCATTAAATTTAAATGACGGTAAAACTAATTATCACTTAGAGCATCGCTCTCATTATTTAATTTCGGGAGTTTCAATCCCTAATAAATAATGGTGATACAAATTAATTGCAATATTTAATCATGCTTCATTATTCGAATACTTAAATAAAGGGAGTAAGTGGCACTTAGCTTCCAAGTTAAAGACTCGGCCAGTAACGAGGCTATGTAGAGCCAGATTTGCTTCCCTTTTATCATATTGTGCAGACCCAGCTGCTGGTCAACTCTTCCAAAGCAGCCAACCTTCTATTCTTGGTCCCAAAACTTGCGGACGTGGTCAGCTTCAGACCAAGGCATTTACGCGGAGTGTACCTCTTAGGACAGACAGATGGAACAGCCTTCTACCAACCCATCAGCAGGCTGCACGTGCCGGCCACCTTCCGTCGGTGGAGATGGTGGTCACGGCAGAGCAAGGCCGGCCAGAGGGTGTAGTTTCGTTGGGAGATCTTTTGAGCTTCAGATTTTACTTCCTTTGAGCTTAAAAAACACCATTAATGGCGGAAATCAAACTCCCAGTCGGCAGGTCCTCAGGTCACAGCGGTCGAACAGGATGGCTGGTGGAGGCTCGCCCCGTGACTGACCAGGCGGAGGGGTAGTCGGTGGTTGACCGCCGGCGGCGAGCGGCGGTGCGGCGACTTTAGGCGGCAGAAGCAGCTGCGCGTGACGAGCAGCTGTGTTGTAGGTGCTATGAGATTTGGGGTGCTTAAGCGAGCTTTTTCTGGTGCCGGCTAACACCACGGAGGCTCCCTGCCGGCGGGTACGGCGGTGGCTCCGGCGACTTCAAAAACAGACTTGGAAACAAAAATCCAGATTTGGCTTCCCAATTTCTGTACCTTCTTCGTTTCTTCTTCCCTCAGAGCCATTTCTTTCCTTTTTTCTTTTCTGGAATCCAGTTCATCCGTATGATTTTTTTTAGAAACCCAAGAACAATAGAACACATGAATCTTTTTGGACAGATTCCCACAGACGGCGCCAGTGTTGAGTTTAATCCAACACGATATAGTAAATATATGTATAAATGTGTATGAACAAACTATTTTTACGTGGAAACCCGAAAGGGAGAAAACCACGGGACTTTTTAGGCTAATGTCCAAGCCCTCTCAATTCTCATTAGGCTCTCCTCACCATTACATAGTACATTTTGAGCTCCATTCATGGAGTATTTGAGCTATTCTAGAGGGAGAAGGAAGAAGGAAGTCCTTTACATGGAGGGAAAACCTCCTATAAATAGGGGAAGGGGAGAAGGGGCTCTCCACCCTAATGGGTCAAACGGGCCAGAGTGGGCCCAAATGGCTAAAGTGGGCCGGATGGGCCGAAATGGGCCTAGCTGCTCGGGCTCCGTACTACGTAAAGCCTTGGACTCATGAACAGTAATAGGCCGGGATAATATATCCCAACAATAGTAATGTGTGTATATATAATATATATCTAAGTTAAATAGCCAACGTTTTTATAACTCACGCATAACTGATTCAAGCCAGATGTTGTTTCAAAATAATTGCTTAGTGTCATGAATTAAACTGAATTTTGAGTCAACAAATTTATGACTTCAACACTTCTTAAGAAGCCTTTTAGTTTTTACTTGATATTATTGGTGTGTGACAACATATATGTATCTAAATTCCTCCATATATATATATATATATATATATATATATATATATATATATATATATACACATATAAGCTAAGACATTTTTTTAAATGTTGCTTTTATTTCAATTACTAAAAACTTAATATGTTACTAGTGCTCTTTTCAATTCATAAAAAGCGACTCTTTTTGTTTGTTCAAAAAGTGATTCATCTTGTACCATTTGTAGTAGGGAAAAGGGGCAAATAAGTCCTCCAATTAATCAAATAAGTTCAAATCACCCCTTATATAGGAACCTATGTCCGGCCTTCGCCATTTATGGCGGTTCCCGGTGGAATGTTTTGATGACTTTTTTTGAGAATCTTCTTCATTAAGTCTAGTTTACTCATACTAAATTTCAGATAAAATTTCAATCGGGAAGGCAGTCAAATAAATTTTTGAAGATTACTGCGCAGTTAAATATATAGCACAATATATTTCAGAAAATCATTTTACTTTCTTCCGGGTTTTATTTTTAGCTAAAATTTGGTATGAGTAAACTACACTTAATGAAGAATATGTTCAAAAGAATTCATAAAAAAATTCCACCGGGAACCGCCCCAAATGGAGAAGGCCGGACAGAACCTCCTATAAGGGGCGATTTGCACTTTTTTTTATTAGTCTGAGGGTTTATTTGCACCTTTTCCCTTTGAAGTTTGAAATATGGAGTATGTAATGCAACTTTAATTTATGATTCATGGCAATATACATCTCTATTTCAGAAAAACGTAATAGAATTCAAAATTCTAACGTGCACACCAATTTTTTTCTTTCCAGTAGAGCACACTTAGAGATGGCAACGAGACAAATCGGTACATTTATGCAAATAATTGTATCTGCCCTCTTGGGTAACTTTTCCGCCCAACGGATAATTTTTATCCAAATCATAACCGCCTCAATGGATAACGGTTATCACCGTGGGTAACCATTTATTAAATGAGTCATTGATATTTTAATATAAAAATTATAATTTTGAAAGGAAAACAAATGGCATGGCCTAGATGACTATAGACGTGAGATGCTACTTAAAAGTTTTGTGCATCTACAAGACAAGAAAAAAGGCAACCTAAATTAACGTGAACCTAAAAATACTTAAATTGAAAAATAATTAACCAAGAAAAAATAAGATAATAACCAAATGAGACTATTAAAATTTATTAGGAACTTTCATTCATGCATTATAATTATTAGTACATCCATATTATTTGTGGGGCAAATAATGTAAAGAATGTAACAAAAAATAATCAAAAAATACAGGGCGGGTACGAGACGGATGATGTGGCGGGCATGTATAAAACCGTAACCGCCCCGTTACCGGTAAAAATAAAACGGGTATTCCCTGCCCCATACTCACTACCCGGTCAATACAGTTTTCATCATTTTGACCGGAGCGGTTCGGTGTGGGTATCCATCGGATCGGTCACAATTGTCATTCCTAATCACACTCATTTGGTCCAAATTATATACTCCTTATGCATGTATGTGTGTGTATAGTATGTGTGTATGTATCATATATGTATGTGTTATATTTGTTTTTTGTTGTGTGTAATATATATGTGTATGCTTGCTAATTAGGTGGTAATATAATGTTGCATATCTTCCTTTTTGTTTTTCTCTTCAGATAATATTTGTTTCGTATTCTTTGTCATAAATTTGCAGCTATTTAGACAGCTCATAACAATTCTTTGTCGCACTTTAAATAAAGAAGCAAATCGAAGAATTGGCCAAGTACATGATCCTATTAAACATCGGAAGTTGGAACTTGTTTATTATAATATTTGTTTCGAAATAGGAAATAAAATACAATTTATCGTACCAAGTACATAATTATTATGTCGCAATTGCATCATTATTATAATCTAAGGATAAATTTATTTAGTGTATATCTTCCCCTAAATACATCTTAATCAACTATCTAGTTGCGTAATAGGCCCCAACTTCACGTGGAATATTAATACACCTGCTCATGCACAGGAAGCTAATTAAGTCAGTCATCTTCAACGAGCTGATTAATTAATTTAATTAGTTTAATTAAAAGAGCTATCAGTCATCTTCAAGTCTTAAGTCGTCCTAACTACATCGACGGCTTTCGATCAGGACAAGTAATTTATATTTGGGTGTTCTTAGTTTTGTCCAAAATACTCGATCTTAGAGTGCCGACTAGCTACCATCTTAAAAATATGACGTTTTTATGGAAAGTAGTTAATAGTGTCTTCCGTCTCTTTCAACATGTTGAATTTTACACTATTCATATGTTCTATTTTGACTACATTTTATGATATTATTTTATGAAAATTATTTTTCTAAAAAAAATTGTTCAATTCATCTCATTACAAATTTTCAAAATCTATTTTTTAAATTTTTTTTACTAATAGAGATTAGGATATAATTACAGTTAAAGATGTGCGTTGGCAAGTGTGAAATGTTGACTGTTGCAACTAAAAAAGAACAAAGAATTATATCATTTGGGAAATTATTTTATGTTTTGACTCCTAAGCTCTTATGTAATTAATGCCGTCGGTTATGATATACTGCCGTTATTTTGATAGATTTACACGTTATACCTTGATATACTAATCCCTCTCACTAAAATTGAGTTGGGAAGAAGTGGTGTGATTATTAAATGAGAAACCTGGATTGATTTGGTTGATTAAATTGACGAATTGAAGTAGAAATAAAATAAAGAAATTGCTTAGTGTTGGACTGTTGGAGTAGAACATGAGTAAAGTTTTAAGGGAAAAGGTGCAAATAGGCCCATGTACTAATCAAAAAAGGTCAAATAAGCCCTTATTTAGGAGGCTCTGTCCAGCCGTCGTCATTTGGGGTGGTTCCCGGTGGAATTTTTTGATGAAATTTTTTGAGCATCGTATTCATCAAGTCTAGTTTACTCATACCAAATTTCAGCTAAAACTTCAATCGGGAAGGCATTCAAATGAATTATTGAAGATAAACTGCGCTTCTAATTGCGCAGTTATTTTTAAGAATTCATTTGAATGCCTTCCCGATTGGAGTTTTAGTTGAAATTTGGTATGAGTAAACTAGACTTAATGAATAAGATGTTCAAAAAAATTCATCAAAAACTTCCACCGGGAACCACCCCAAATGGCGACGGCCGGACAGAGCCTCCTAAATAAGGGCTTATTTGACCTTTTTTGGTTAGTACATGGGCCTATTTGCACCTTTTCCCAAGTTTTAAAATGTTGCTTCTTCCCGGAATAGAATTTATGTAGTCCTAAAACAGTAAAGTCATAGAACATTTCAAAATCACAATGAAAGAATCATACTCCGTATTTGAGAAGAAAAGAATGACAGTTCTACTTGAGAAACTTTGTTTGAGACAGATTTACTTGGATATACAAAAGAAAACGGACAAGAATAGTAAGACAAAAGGATTACTATGAACTATAAAGGGTAAACGATGCTAATCCCATTAATTTTTGTTATAGAATTACCTTTATTAATCTATATATCGCCGTAAAAATTGACAATGAGTTATCTAATTATAAGACTGCATTTGTTCGGTCAATAATGACGTTTTTTCTCAATTCCACGGAAGTCAAATACTCGATCTAGCTTCTCATCTCTTAAAACTTTTCCGTATCAATCAAACTTGAAAAAGTTTTAAGGGACGAAGTAGTATTTACTGTATGAATTGCATTTGAGATTATCATATCCTTAGATGTTTTTACTTGGATTGAAAATTTGTTGTCAGATCTGGACTGTTTAAATCTAATCTAGTTTAAACTGGTTCAGTTTCTGTGTATTTTATAATTGCCGAAATATGACCTAGTTGATCTGATTTGGTCTGATCAAGTATGATCAAATTTGATGTGATTTGATCTGTAACTGAAATAAATTCAAATAAAAACATTTTTCTTTTATAATCTCTTTAAAAAACAATCATATTGCAAGAAAAGAATTACACTATACACGTGTGGAAGTCACCGCTTGATAAGTGAGTTATTTTCAGCGTGAATTTGGTACATTTTTTAAACAACAATTAAAAGATAAAGAATATGTATATTAAAAAAGGCAAAAAAAATAGGGTGGGGGAGGGCTTCGAGGTGTAGGCCCGCCTAAGTTGAACATTTTGAGGCCAGTGCTGGTCGTGATGATCGGGAAGCTGGGACGGGAACTTTATATTTTCGTTTTTATTTATCGTGATAATCTGTTTTGTTTTGTGTTTCTTCACCTCTTTATTTTAGTCAACCGCAAGACTGTGAATTTGGATGTTGGTGGTGGAAGGATTGCGGTAACCGTCTTTGGTTCAGTTGTGCCCATTAATAGATCAACGAGTGGTTTGAGGGTCGGCGGTTGTCATGAATTCTTTTGTCGATTTACCTACTATCAGAATGATGTGTTATCAATTTAAGTTTATTTCTTCCCCACAAAAAAAGGGAACGTTTGAAGCAATTCTAATTTTCCACGGGCAAGAGTTATAGGAACATTAATTACTTACTTACATTAATTAGTTGAATTGCACATTTGCACAGGTCATATAAATCAAAGTTTTTTAAAATCATACAATACACTACCAAGCATTAAGTTACATTCAGACATTCAGTGGCTTATATATATCATTTCAATTGGTTATACTTCAAATTCCCAACATAAATCCCCACAGGGACCTAAAATGAGTTGCATGAACTCTCAAACCAACCATAAAAGCCTATCATCATCTATGAAACACAACAAGAAGAGGCTAAACCAAGACCAAGTGAAACTCTTGGAGTCATATTTTGACTCCAACAAGAAGCTCGAGCCAGAGCGCAAGCTCGAGCTAGCACGAGACTTAGGAGTCCCTCCCCGACAAATCGCAATATGGTATCAGAACAGACGAGCTCGATGGAAGAGCCAGAGCCTTGAACTACACAACAGTGCTCTTCAAGTTAAGCTGGACAGTGCTTTAGCTGAGATGAAAACGCTTGAAACGGAAATGGCGAAGCTCCGAGAAGAGCTGAAGAGGCGGGCAGAAGAAATGTCGTTGATTGGCGGGTCATCTCTAGCCCTTCATCAGACTGGGGTATCTTCAATCTCTCCTAATTATAATTCCAGTTGTTGTGATGAAGGAATGAGCTCCAGCTTCAAAGATGAGGGATTGTTACACTTTGATGAACTGTATGGCTCCTTGGTTGGAGTGGAAGATGGGTCAAATTCAAGCTCAAGTTGGGCAAACAGGAAAGACTTTTGGGTGTAGTAAAAATAATAGTAACATGCATAAATGCAAAAGGTTTGTTTTTTCTTTCAAACAAATGGTTATATTTGTTGTGGTAATCACTTCTCTTCTTGTAAAAAAAAAACACCCCATTTCTTACTATAATCTTTAAGGTTGAATCGAAGATCAACCAAACCTTCATTAACGGTGGAATGTAATTAGGAATGATGTTGGGACAGTATGAAATCCAAATGTATTTTTAGTTATTAGTGTGGGTCTAAAATTAAGGCCGTTGTGTCCGATTTTAGATCTAAATATCCAAAAAGATGGGCAAATATATGTGGGGTGAACAAATATTACCATTTACCACTAGTTCGTGTGTGTTTTTCTGTGATGTCAATTAGATTGGTATAAGTTATAGTGAATTGGTGAGTACAGTTTAAAAAAAAAATTAACATTGTTTTCATATGGGGTGTATAATTTGGTTTGATATGATTGGCTCAATTTTAACTCATCTAGTTTTTCGTTAAAACTAATCTAGTTTTAGTTGAAATATACTCCTCCGGTCTTTTGGATTTTGTTTGTCCCAAATTATTTGTAACTTTTCAACTAAATCAACTCTTGATGGCATCGATATTATAGATCGATTCATGTTAGCTAACCTCAAAATCTTTTGAGATTAAGACTTGATGTTGTTGTTGTTCAACTAAATCAAGTAAGTTGCAGTTCTCATCATTTCTCCCCTTTTTTACACAAACCTGAACGACAAAACTTTGTTTTTCTTGTTACTTGCAATAAAATTCTAGTCTAATTTAATCTATTTACGGTCAATATAGTCTATTTTGTAACTCAAGGATTTTCAAGTCATGGCATACCCACATAGGAAATTAGTCAGAGTAGGATAATGTTTATTCATACGTAGTATAGGAAATTAGCTGATTACAAACAACAACAATTCATTTTCACCTACACCCATGAGGGCACCAAATTTTAATGATCACAAGTTTATCAGAGTCCAACTAGGTATACACATTCTTACACACTGTGTACAGACAAAACATATTTGTCAAATACATTTTATCTGTCAAATATGTTTTGTCTGTATAGACAAAAAAAAATGCCTACACAGACAGTGTGTAAGAATGTGTATCCCAAAACATGGATGGATCCGGGCCGGTTCCGGTTCGGGCCTGGGCCCGGCCGGGCTTTTATTTGGGAATGGTGGAACCGGAACCGGCCCGGGTAGCCGGCGGTTCCGGGCCGGGCCGGTTCCGGTTCAATGTTATTTTTTTTTATTTTCTTTTGATTTTCTAAATAACCCCCGACCCCCCTCACCCCCCAAAACACCCAGCCCAACCCGGTAGAAACAAAAAAAAAAATTGGAAAAAAAAATATAGGCCCGAATCAGCCGGGCCGGTTCGCATTTTAGGGGGCCCAAGCCCGCATCGGGATTAGAGCGGTTCCAGTTGCCCCGAACTTGCCCCAAGACCGGGTACCAGGCCGGTCCCAAACAGTATCGGGCCGGTCCGGTTCTGGGCCGGGCGGCCCGACCCGAGCCCACCCCTACCCAAAAGTGTGTACCTTTAGAATTTTTGAATTTATCATACCTGCAAGTCTGCAACTCTAGTTAGGGCATACAACGCTTTATTTGTCACTTTGTATATTTGCCCTCTCTCTCGATAGATACACAACATATAAGAGTGAATGAGTGATCCATTAATTCTATGAATAGTGGAAATTAAGTACTAATTGACAAAATATATTGGAAAATGATCTTTGTACAAATTTTTTGTAGACATCATTTTACACGCCGATTGAATTGTTGTCTCAGACAAAAAAGTTACCGGTGCAAAAAACAATTCGTTTCACAAAACAAAAAGGGAAATGTTTATGCACAGATAATTCGACCGACATGTAAAATGACATGTACAAAAAACGCGTACACGAAGCATGATTGAAATGTATTAAAATGTACAAAAAAAATTCCTTTGTTTTATATCAAAGCTAAACTTTCCTAATAATGAAAACAAGGAGTATATGAAAACTACTATTTATCAAATTAAGAGAATCATAATTCCGGAACTAACTGGGAAATCATAATTCCCAAACTTGCTATGAAAGCATTAAATTAGCTCATAAGTAAAAGGATCACTAATATCAACAATAATCTTCAACTATTTAAGATCCGCAGTCATCCTCATCTCCTTCATTCCTTTTCAATCTTTGGCTCTTCACAATTTATGAGTCATATTCTTATACTCTTATTTTTATGAAAAAATAAGATATCAAATAAGGTATCATATTTTTATGAAAAAGGGTCAAATAAGGTCTTTTATTATTATGAAATCGTCACATAAGGCCATATACTCAATAAAGTGTCATATAAATGCGTCTACTAGTAAAAAACAATCAAATAAGTCATAACGACCTATTTACAACCTCCTAATCCCGATTTTAGTGTTCTTGAAAACATCTTTTTATAATAGATTATATATAGGCACAAGTCGAATATTTACCTAAGATTGGTTGAATTACAAGTAAAAAAAAATTGACCCGTAGGCTAAAATTAGGATTAAGAAGTTGTCAACGGGTCATTAGGACTCATCCGATTGTTTTTTATAAGTAGACGTATTCATATGGCACTTTATTGACGTGGCCTTGTGTGACGATTTCATAATAGTAGAAGGCCTTATTTGATCCTTTTCTCTATTTTTTATCCACAATAATTTAGTAGTAATTCAAACCAAGTTGTACCCAGTAAAATGAATTCTAATCTGAAAAGATATGCATAGTCGCATAGAAACTAGATATAGAGAGGTGTTAACTTCCGATTATGCCTGGACTCGGGCCGGTTCGGGCCCGGTTCGGGCCTGGGCCCGGCTCGGGCCTGGGCCCGGCCGGGCCTCGGGCCAGGAAAGGGAGGCCCGAGCCCGAACCGCCGGTGGCCGGTTCCGGTCCCGGTTCCGGGCCAAACCGGGCCGGGCCGAACCGGCCCAATAATTTTTTTTTTGTTCTCCTATTTAATCCCCTACCCCTCCCCCTCAACCCCAAACCATCCCAAACCACCTCAAATGGCCCAAAATACCTAATCCAACCTAAAACTTAAAAAAATTTCAAAAAAAAAAAAAAAAATTAAAATCCGGCCCGGACCGGACCCAAACCGGCCGGGCCGGTTCACCAAAACCTGGGCCCGGGCCCGAACCGCCCAGCAGCCGGGCCGGGCCGAACCGAACCGAGGGACCCACCGGGCCCCGGGCCGGGCCGGGCCAAACAGTAACCGGGCCGGGCCGGTTCCGGGCCGCCCGGCCCGAGTCCAGCACTACTTCCGATTCATTTTCATCAAGTTTAACATATGTCTAGCCAATAATTCATTGTAGGCTTACACAAAAGAGAGCATCCCCAATATATGTTTCCAATAGACACTCAGTCCATGGGGAAGCCGGAATGGAACTAATTACTGAAGTTAAAGACTACGCTAGCTAGCAAGTACACGACTAAGCTGAAGGAAAATGTTCTAATAAAGGACTAGGCTTGCACAGCATTCACCAGTTCATACTCAATCAGGGAGAGATTGTTATCTTCTTTCACATCAAATGAAGCAGCTTCTGTCACCTCTATGCGTCCCCATTTGTCTACTGCCACTCTCATGCATCCCTTAAACATGTCAATCTTTGCATTCCGAAGGATCACAGTAGAACCCGGATTCATCAAATCAACTGCATAAGCATATAATGAGTTTTAATACGTAATACTCCGTAGTATATATGAGGATGAAAATATGATAGAAGTACTTTCTTACTTTTATGGAGGGTGAAGGGAAGCCGTGGGAGAGGATGCTATTATTATATTAGGAATTACTTATTAATATATTTTTCATTTCATATTGTTATTTCATTTCCTAACCTTGTGTGGCACACTTTTAATGTATCAACTCATTAGTCTTATATAAACCTCCACATATATTCTATAGTTACTATCACCAGATTCAACATAGTTGTTCATTCCGTTAAAGTTGCATATATGTCATTGATTATTACTCCGGGTACTATTAAGATCTTTAGTGCAATAGGCTAATGCCTGCCCTACATCAATGTGGTAACTATAAAAGCTTGGAGTTACATTCTGAAAGATTAATCTTATAGGAGTAACTCGAGGCTTCATATGTTAGTTGCTGCAGACGAGATAAGAGATTAATATTAGTTTTTGTTTTTGTTTTATAGAACAAGAGCAATGGTTGAAAATTTCCAATTGGGGGCTTTAAGCTGAAGAGGTGCCATTCTCTAACATTGTCTACTATACAATTGTGAGGTTCCAATTGCGAGGTTTCATTATGCAGATACTTAACAACAGTAAAGATAATTAAACCAGAGATGAATGAATTCTGGTCGCTATCTTTAAAGTTTAAAGAGCCTCATATCAACACTTTCTTTTAAAGACATTCTCTTTAAAGATATTCTCTTAATCTCTTTCCCCAGCCTTTTATGAGTTCCCAACAGAGCTTTAAAGAACATAGCTTTGTATTTTGATTGGTTAAGAAATGTCATCACAACCACCTCAAGTATGTATAAACATTCAAATATCTTGCTTGGGGAAATGTGATTTTTAAGTTTCAACTCTAAAAAAGCACAAATAACACCCTGTTTGTTTGATTTGACTTCAAGAGTTCAATTGAACTGATCAAACATGATGAAAAATGGTAAGATAAAACAATGACAGGTAGTAATTTATTTATATACTTTGAACACGTCTTCCAACTCTTGCATCAAACCCATATCTAAGTTGAGGCAAGGAGAAAGGTTAGATAATGGTTGATCAGGAACAATACTATACATTTATTTTAAAACTAGAGGGTCCTATCCCGGAAAAGGGGTGAAGGATAATAGTAACTCAAGGTCATAAAATGCCATTAAGTCCCAAGAGATTTGACAACTGCTATTAAAGAACGGCAGAATGCAACAGCTTAATTAAACTATTAGAGATCAAAGTCTGAGTAACTCATATAATATATCCACAAGGGCATTGAAATAGGATCTCAACAAGATAAAAATAATGCCTTTGAAGCTAAATTAGCAAAGCTTTCATCAAACTAAGTGAAAAGCAAACTTTATTTTTACCAATTGCTAATTACCTTGTTCTTTTATAAATTAAAGTAAACAATTTTCTGTTTCGTATTTCTCAGTTTCTCAGTACGCATATTCATCAACCCAACAAGGCAACAACCTAAAACGCGACGGACTGACATCATTTCGCAACCAAAACCCTAGAGTCAGCATCGACAGTAAAAAAGCATATGAATTACTTTTACCTTGATCGTTGCGAGCAGTAAATAGAATGCAGCCGGTTTCGTCTCCGACGAGACACTCCGAAATGCTGGTGTTACGGAGGTGCGTCGACACCGCGCTGCCCTTGGGCAACACCATGTTGGAGTCGATCACCTTCACGAGAAGCGTGTGACCGCTGGTCCCCGGCCTCAGGCTGTCCACCTTGACGAAAACCGGCTTCCTCAACTCCCGCTTCGTCACCGCCGGGCGTGAACTCGTCGCCATTTCCGCAACCTTGGTAAATGATGAAAATGATCACGGCCAATAGAAACCTCGCTGAAAAGCTCTGCTTTTGTGGTCTGGTATGTGCTTTTCAGACTGAAATATTCCCGCAGTCAAGTTTCCATTCTTGGGATTTGGGTCGTCTTCTAGCGAGCGACTCTTTGATTCCCTGTTTGCAGTTTCACGTGGAAAGTATGCATCCAATTGATGATAAGTTTGAATTCAAAATCGAAGGACTCACGATTCAGGAAATAAGTTCCATCAAAATGAAGCATATGACACGTTGTGTTGCATTATAGGTTCGATACTACTTCGATTCGAGTGAATACAAACGGCCATAATATACGGACTGCATTATAGGAGCACGTACATTTTTATTTTTTTGTTTTGTGAAGTTGAAAAAATGATATGTATATTACTAATAAAGTTTTATCAAACAAAAATAATTAATTGTGTTTTTGGACAAAAATATGATTAGTAAATGTTTACGAGTCACTATAAACATGTCACTACAGTTATTTTAGAATGACATGTCATTGTAGATGACGATTCACTACAAACTAATTAAGTCACTTTTTTCGAAAATTTTAAAATAAATCATGTTTTTTCTTTTCAATTTAATTTAGTAATATTAATGGAAAAATGCCTTTGAGTTTCATTTTTGTTTCGACAAAAGGAAAAAACCATTTCTAACTATAAATTACACGAGGAAAAAAAACATTTCTAAATTACCCCTTCAGCCCTCAAACTAACATCAATAGTGCAAATCACCCCTTAAATTAAAAAAACATCCACCAAATCCTTCAAGTCGACGACAAAGTGCAGATCACCCATTCAATTAAAAAAATTGCGACCATATTCTCCAACTCGATGATCTAGCGCAAATGGCTTTCCTAAGTTGTAATTTACCAGTAAAAGCTTATGTATGTCATTTACTAAAAAAGTTATGCCGCATAAGATTAATTTATCCACCTCCTTTTTAAAATTGCTTACAAAAATTATAGAGAAAAGAGGCAAATAAGTCCTCCAACTATTTGCAATTCTGCAATCAGGCCCCTGAACTTGAAGAATTGCAGATACACCCCTCAACTCATTGAAAATGATGCAATCAAATCCTTTTTTACCTGTTGGTGGGGGGTAAGAAGATGAAATATTACCGGCACCAACAGGTAAAAAAGACCTGATTGCATCATTTTCAATGAGTTGAGGGGTGTATCTGCAATTCTTCAAGTTCAGGGGCCTGATTGCAAAATTGCAAATAGTTGGAGGGCTTATTTGCATCTTCTCTCAAAATTATATCAATACATACAACAAATGACATACATAACCGTTTAGAGCCAGTTTAATGACCCCGTTTTTTGACTTATCAGACTTATCACCCAACTTTTTCACCAAACACGTAACTTTTGATTTCACGTTTTGAATTCTGTTATAATAAGAAAGAATAAGTTTGAAGTTACTTTTCTGGCTGTATTGGCTGAAGTTATTGTAGAGGATCATTTTATCTATTGTTCATATAATTTTTTTAGTTATTTTATTTATAAAAAATAATGTGAATATAATCTTTTCATAAATCAGCAGAATCAGACAATCCAGTCACTTCAGCACACTTCATAAATTTCAGACGAATCAGCTGATTCAGTCAGTTACAGACTTCCAGTGTTATCAAACGGGCTCTAAATTGACTTGTACAATTAAAAAAAAACATAAAAAGCATTAGAGAAGGGTTACAAAACCTCATAGTCTTCGAAACTCCCCCTTCCTTGATCAGTATTCGTTTTTCATGAAGTGGTGGGGCGGTGCTATGTTTATTTTTTGAGTTCGTCGATGTGTCTTCGGCCAATCGTGCAAACACTTGAGCGTGATAAAAGATCGCGTGCTCTACCTCGTTCTAAGCCGTCAATATATAAAAGATTTAAGTTACAAATATTGAGGTAGATAAATGAATCTTATGTATAAAAATCACAATGTGGTCGTCGTCCCTTAGCTTAGGGTTCGGATTTTCCGCAGACCGTCACCTGGGGTCGTACGACCTGCGTCATTCGGTTTTCAGCCAATTAGCATTGTGCAGACGAGGGTGAGGAGCAGATTGGTTGTTCGCAGGTCTTGCAAGGGAGAGCTTCGCACGCAGTTTCGCTCCGGTTGAAGAATCGGTCAAGGAGGTTGCAACCACGAAGTTTTGTGTTACTTTTCCTCTTCTAGTGCAGTTTATTGTTTTCCCACAAGGGTTGCGGCCACGAAGGTTTGCGGTGCAACATTTGTAGGGCATGGCGGCGAAGATGATGACCGCTAACGGTAATTGGGCTCGAGTGTGGGACGAGGAGAGTCGCACGAGTTTCGAATAGGTCATATTTCGATCGACAATGGAGGATCAATTCGAGAGGTACCAATAGTACGACCTCCTCTTGAACCACCGCCATGGGTTGTGCGAGAGGCTAGAGTTCGTGAAAGTTTTCCAATAAGTTTTCATTATTTTGTCATTTGGTTTCTTGTTGTCATCTATGTTGTTAGGTTTGTTAGTTTGTTTGGGAATTTAGCCTGGTTTTATGCCATTGAGTATGTTTGGATCTATGGGAACATGGATGGCTGTGTAAAGCTCGTTACATGGTTAGCAATTCGTGTTGCTGAGGTGACCGTTTCTAAGTCTTATCATAGAGTTTACAGTCGTAGTTGTTGGAGTCTAGTTGGTGCAGTCAGATTTGTTTTTCCTTTGATTGATGTAATGATCATGAATCTTATGATATGAATAAAGTCTAGTTTTCGATGATAAACAAAAAATGAATCTTATGTGACATAATTTTTTAATAAATGGCACACATAGCTTTAACCAGTAAATTACCGCTTAAGAAAGACATTTGCACTATATCCTCGAGTTGGAGAATTCGGTTGCATTTTTTTAATTTAGTAAGTGATTTGTAGTTCATCACTCACTTGGAGATTTTGGTGGGAGGTTTTTTTACTTTAGGGGGTGAATTGACTATTGGTGGTAGTTTAATGGTTTCGTTGATTTTGCACTTTTACCTAAATTTGATGTTATTTTATCAATATATTGATGTATCATTGTGTACAATGAATTTTTTTATTTATGAAATAATTACATAAGTATGGCCAAAATAAGAAATAATTACATAAATATGACCAAAATAATGATGGTTTACAAAAATATGATTCATTACTAGAGTAGTAATGAAATCATAGTAATTTATGTTCAAGTTTTGAACTTTAGTTACCACAGCACTACGTTGTAGTAATGAATAGTCATATTTATGTAAATAAGTTTTATTTTAGTAATATTCTTGTAAAAAACCCCCAAAATAAAGATGGTTTACAAAAATATGACTAGTTACTAGAGTAGTAACTAGTCTAGTAACTAAGGTGGAAAGACAACTTTCTAAGATTTTTGTGGTCCGAAGTGACAATGGAAATGATTTTAGTTGTTGTTAGGTCCCCTAGATTTTGATGATTATAATGTAATAGTTTTGATGATGTCATCCCTTTTTATTATCCCTGTATTAGACTAGTCTACTAGTTATGTTCTACTTTGTTTATTTGTAATGTGCTCCATATTTAGTGGTAAAGTACTCATAAAAAGCAAAGAGTACTAAAAAGAGAAGAAACATACCATAAAACAAAAGAAAACAATCACAAAAAGGAAAAGGTACGAAAAAGAGTTAACTGATATTCATTGAAAATGAAGCCTACTGAAAAACCTAGATTTCGGCAGCCAGCTGATTTTCTTGGCAGCCAGCTGAAATCTGTAAATACAGTCAAGGCATCCAAAATCCAATTCTTTCTTCTCTTAGCACAAAAACACTTAGACAAAAGACCAACTTTCAGTCAAAATAACAAATTGATAAAAAGTAAATTTATAAGAAATTTTTAACACATTATAAATTTCTTATAAATCTATTTTGATAAAAAGCAAGTGTTCGTTATTTTGTAAGGAAGCATTGAAATATCACTCAGCTTTATACTAGTTTCTACGCATAAGAAAATAAAGACAATAGCTCTTTTATCGTGCATTGAAATGTGTAAACAAGTTGAGCTGATTTTTGATCCGTGTCACTACGTGAGAAAGACCAACCATGCTGCCTCAGTCAAGTGGAACAAAGCAAGTAGATCAAGCTACAGTCAAGATTCATTTCCTAAGCCAACGGTGGAGATGCAATGATCAAGTCTATTAATACAGAAGGAGTGCGGGAATACCAAGTGTGGTAAAACGAGAGCAGCCAAGTGGATAGAAGGAAATCATACTTTACACAAAGAGATCCAACCAGCTGATTTCCCTTCTACACTTTGTCTACCACCCCACTTGTGTAATGCTCTTAGACTAGCTACAATTCATACAAATCTATAGAGCTTAGATTAGTTGGTAGTTTAGACATACACCCATGTATTCTAGCTAGACTAGTGTTAGACATTCTGAAGGGGCTTTGTGATCAAATCCAGAATGTGAGAAAGGTCAAGGACATGAGCAGCTCTTAGCAAGTCAATGCCATTAGTGAAAAACCTTGGGAGGACTGAGTAGCTTGGAACGGTGTTTAAGTTCCTTGTGAAAAAACTCACAATCTACGCCTGGGCCAAGGGTAGATTGGGGCACTAAATGTAATGAGATATTCATTTAGTGGAAATCCATCTGAAATAGGTTGGAACGGGATGTAGGAGGATTACACCACCTCTGAACCAGGATATATCTTGTGTCACCCTTTACATTCTGCTCCTAACATAAATTGAGTACTCACTCACCTTCAATTCACAACTTCACAGCAAAACAGCTTGCTCACTAAAACTGTCCAGTGAACATTTGCAGTTCACCGTGAGTCATCTCCTTGTTATCTGTTCTTCAAAGTGGTCTATTTCTATAGGTCTAAATCCTTCATACTCATGTGTTAGACTTGTTCTAAAGCCTATCAATATGTTAGAGTATAGTTCATTGCTATACCTTAACTAATTGAAGCAGAAACACCATTTCGGCAGATTACTCCTAAGGGTTTTGGCAGTCAGCTCCAAACTGTCTGGCTGCTAACTCCTCCTAGTTTCGACAGCCTGCTCCTTGATTCATCTGCTTCTGGAAAACACATTTGTGTCATGTTTTATCCATCTCTCTCACAACTAAAAGGATCATAACCTTTGTTTCTATAAAGTGTCACCCTTTGAGGTCAAGACTTCCGTTGCATGTTTCAATATCTCCCAAAAGATATTGGAACACATTCTGTTAAGAGGAAAAGGGGCTGAAAACGAAAAGATTTAAGAGTCTATTCACCCCCTCTAGACTTTTACCTCACTTGGGACTCAGTTG